TCTTTGATTCAGAGGAAAATTTGTTTTCGGAAATCTTGTCCCTTTACTGTTGGGCGAAATATTTGCTTTGGTGTCAAGGGAGATACACGGATAATAAAAGGTACGGGAGGGGCGACGTGAACGTCAATCATATTTCGTTTCGAGTGATTTAGTTGATTGAATTTCATTAATAAAAAAAATGATTCTTATAACAATCGGGCCTCCCAAGTTTATTAGGTGTAGTACATATTTATGATCTGTGATCAAAAAGTGTTCACTGAATACACCGGTTGTTTTAGTAGTCCAGTGACTAGTGACAGCCGAATACTGCGTGTGAACTTGCGAATAACCTACGGGATTATTATGGATACTTATTTTTTCCTGTTTTAAAAATGCGATAAAACTAAAGGGAACCAATCATTAAACTCCTAATTAGCTTTGAAATTGCGCCCTTTCCGCGTAAAACCTGTCACGTCATCGATCTGATAGTTCTGTATTGTGTTACTCATCGTTAAAAACATAACTCGCGTGGATCCACTTCCACTGAATTGAAATCTTGCCATTCAACTTAGCTTGAAATTCAATCTTTAGAGTGTTGATACTTAGTTCCGATGATAGGCGTTGACACTGATGATTTTCTTCTCTTACATCTTAGTATTGGAGTAGGTCAACGGAAGGTGTGAACCGTCCAGCACTTGCATCATTTGATTTAAATTGATATATTAGATACCAAAATATGTCTCGCCCCACCGGGTTATGTATGGATATTGTTGAGTTTCCTTCTTCCCATGGGTAATACATCACTTCCTGGTTCGTTGAGAATTTCTTTTGTGCGTATCTGTATGAGTTAACCATAAAGTATTTTAAGTATACTGAGTCATCCATGTTACGCTTTTAACCACCCTTTGGGCGTTGACTAAAAGTATCGGAATGGGTAAATGGGGCGTTCAATAATGCCTGCGTGTTGCAGTGAGAGACTATAGAGGAAAGATCATATCAGCAATGCTTTCTGTCGCATTGAAAAATCAATGGAGTTTGGCCTTCAAGCGGAAACTATTTGGCTCAGTTTTACGTCAATTAGTGTAATTCGTTTTTTTAGTTGTTCAATCACAGCGGATTGTAAACCAGTCTTTTGGTTGAATAATGAATAGATTATGTGAAACGGAAATACATGTGAGTTTAACCTTGAATGTTCTGACCGTATAGGAATCTGCTTGCGCCAACGCCAATACTAATTAACATATTTTTAATGCGTTTCTGTCAAAATATTATGTATGCAACTATCACCACTTAGCTCTGAAGTGTTCTAGTAGTCTGAGTCCAGGCCAAAGGACTAAAGCTTGTCGCTAACGAATTGTGGGTTTTAGCTAAAGATTGATGAGGAAAGGTACAATTATATTGGGAACAAGCCGTATTCGACTTCTGTTATGTTATTACCTTCACTTAAACAAATCCATAAAATGGTTCAGTTGTTCTTGAGGACTTGGTAGCCGGAAAATGCTACCAATCATAGAGACTCCATTCTGATGATTGAAACACAATTCGATTCGGGTCCAATGGTGATAGCACGAACTAAATAACGAGCAAACTGGAGCCTGACTAAACGAACAAATGCAAGCTAGTCACTGTTCGACATTTAAACTGAGTGTAATATGGCTCACATAGTATTCAATCTGCTCTACGAACAATTCAAGATAATATGTTCTTTGGTGCTCAACACGAAACCCAATTGAATGACTAGAACAGCTATCCAGTCATGATTCATTTTGGTCGATTCCTATGCGGTATAGTTTAGAGTTAACAGAATTATGCTTTTTAAAGCAGTCACATTAAACAGAATAATACGATAGAAACTAATGTCATTGAACAGTGGTTTATCCCACAGTTACATGGACTGTAACAAATTTCAGCCGTTATGAATCATAGATAACAAAATTAGTTTAAATTTAGGCGATTATCTCACAAATCGATTAGTGAACAATACTCATATTTGGTGGTCCGTACAATGTTGAAAATGGTTCATTATTGATAATCAATATTGTTCTAAATATATGTCCGAAAAGTGATTGAGATGAAGCGCCGCGAAATTAGTGTTTACAAGTCACCCTTCGGTGCACAAACCCTATACTAACTTGATGAGACCAGATAACTCATGTGAAACACGGAAATTATAACAAGGTTATTTGCTCTGACAATCGTCTCATCTCTTTGCGTAAACCTTGACTGCAAGCTCATTAACCATACATAATTTTGAGGTACGGGATTCAGAAGCGCAGTCTGTGTGTCTTGTGCTAGGTATCAGTCATTCACAAGCCTTAAGTAGGTCTCCCAGTGACGTGAATGCTGGGATAACATCATGTTGTTTAGATCCGGTCTTTTACAAGGATGACTGGGCTGATCTATCATAACTTTATCTGTTTATCTATCCACCTATCTGCCTTTGAAATACTCAGAGTTATTGTAATCATTTTATCAATTCTGTAAAAGAGATAAACACTGTTCGGATTTTTCGAGGTTTCTTAATATCGGCTCCACGGGAATTTTCACTCTGTAAACACATAAAGTTTGACAGGCGAAAAATATTTGAGAGAAACCCAATTGAATGATATCGATGTGATTGTAATGGGTGCGGAAGGCGTGTTCAAGTGGAGATATATGATTGTGGTTCATCACTATATATATATATATATATATATATACATATATATATATACTTAACCCTGGTATCCTTGGTTAACATTTTTTCGACCGTGGAGAACGAACGGATGTCTTTGCACATGTTATGTGCTCTTAATTGGTAAAATTAGTGATGCTTGCCGTCGTTTCACATATTTGTTGATTCAGTCTACAGGACCGATACCTTTAGGCGCGTTAAGATAAACATATTACAGAAATATTTATATGACTCACTTCATAGAGGAACAAGTGAACTTCTGCATACAGAATTAGTTTTAATGCTTTGATAACCTGTCGATTGTTTGCCAAAGGAAGACTGGTTTGGTAGTGGGTTCGACTGAAGAATAGATATTATACAAGACTGAATGAATTTTGCTACTCAATATTGTCGTGTTAATGTTCACTTTATTTGGAATAATCAGAATTTATTTAATTGTTTTTGCTTAAGTAACACGTGAAAAAGTACACTCAATTTCCACCTCAGGGGTTGCCTGGTGTAATGCAAAGTGTGAAAAAGAAGCAGCTTGGGGCGGGCCTTGATAAAAGATCGTTGAATCGCCGTTCAGAATATATTAACCTGTTTACCACCATCGGGCATGGCAGAAGGGTTTTCATGGGGGGGGGGGCGGCAAAAATTTGTTTGAGTAAATTAGTAATCTTCCGGCCAACAGTGAGAAACTGGGGTATGCAAAGTTTAGAAAAGCATTTGCATCTTCATTTGGTTGACGGTCAATCCAAGCGTGACCACTCAGAATGCATGGCCAATTTCATGCCAATGAACAATCAGTATGCAATATTGGATTGGTTTTGAACGCGAATAGCTATTGACTTCAAGTTGTAAACGGGATACAGGTCTGTTTGTCTGCCGCCAATGTTTCCACCGGGTATCATTATTCACTCGGTGACAGACACAGTTGCTGATGACAACGCATTGAAAACCGGTTCCCGCAGCTCGGGTGAACTGAATAGCTGATGTTATTGTTGTTCTCTCATAGCCCATAT